AAGGGAAGGGAAGGGAAGGGAAGGGAAGGGAAGGGAAGGGAAACATTCAGTTACTTACTGCACCAGCAAACAACATTCCTACAATAATCAAACAGCCCCCCATAAAAAAGAGACCAATTCCAGTCCTTCTTTATACCCCTCCTTTATCACACTACCTTATCTGAAATAAACCTGAGATCGACAAGCAGCCTTTGGGCATCTGCAGACATTTTTTAAATGATTTTTCTCCAAGTCTATATTATAGATTGAGAAGATGAAGCAGTATATTTTTATAGGGTGTACATTTAATAATATATTGAAGGACTGAGCTAGCTGTGTATCAATATTACATGGATCTTTTACTTTTTCCTTTCTTAAAAAAAAGTTTATTTGATCACGACATATTATGGTATTGTCAGTGTCGTATTGTTTCTGTTTGTTATTTTTCACTAATATGTATTTTTGAAAAATTAAACAATAAGGACTGTAGAGACCAGGAATGGCAGAAAAGAAGGACAAGGAGAAGGAGAAGGAAGGAGGGAAGGGGAAGGGGAAGAAGGGGAAGGGGAAGGGGAAGGGGAAAGGGAAAGGGAGAAAGAAGGGGAAGGGGAAGAAGGGGAAGGGGAAGAAGGAGAAGGAGAAGGAAGGAGGGAAAGGGAGAGGGAAGGGGAAAGGGAGAGGGAAGGGGAAGGTCTCAGGACCACACAGGTCTCTTGAGTCACATATTGTACCCCTGCTGAAGTTGAGGTCGGCTCAGTGGGTTTCTGAAATTCCCCACCAATTTAATGGGCAGAGAAACCAACTGGAGAATTTCTCCAAATTTTTCCAGGGAAATGAGAAATCCTTCAAGGTTTCTTAAGGGCAGGATATCCCCTTCTGCAGTCTCTCTGTGAAAAGTTCTTCCAGATATCTTCCTTTGGGAGTTAATAGAAACATGACACATCAGAGATACTGGGAATGACTGTGTGAAAATCCAGAATATTCTAATATGCCCTTTGGCAGCCTCACCATGAAGCAAGCCTAAGAATATCTTATTCCACTCCTGAGAGATTCTCTTCTTGGAAAGAATTTCCAAAGAGATGCATTTTCATCAAACTGAATGAGAATTGGTAGAAAAAAATACAGATGAATTTCTCCATTTAGCACTAGCCTTTAAGCCAGATTTTCACCATAGCTACTTTTGCTTTTCTCACACACCTAAATCCAGAAACATCCACCAGGGAGGCAAATGATGACTACAACCTCACATCATCATGGCGCAACCTCTGCCCCTTTTGTACAAGCACCAACACGTCACACACATGTACAGAAGAGGCAGGGTTGTGTTGCCATCTGGATGAAAGCATCAGATCTGTGGATATGGCAAAGTCAGAACTCCCAAATTTACCTCACATTTTCCGATTCCAAACATTTTGGATTTGATTCCAACAATCTGCTTTGGAGACCATGAAGGTAGCTCTTGTGTACCACTCTTTAAAGCAGCTGGGTCTTTTCCTGGATTCTGTGCAATCTCTGAGAAGGACATGGCTACTTTAAAGGCCACCTGGGCTCTGAAGCACAGACTTACCGTAAAGTAATAGAACTGGGAAGATTTCGCCATGAATTCTGGTTTGCATTCAGCCACGCAAATGTCCACATTTCCAGCATGCTGGCTGAGTTTTGCTTCACCCATCTCGCACACGATTCTAGAAGGAAAGCAGAGACGTTCAAAGGCTGAGCATCTGTTTTTCCTCTGTTAAGCCCCCTAGCAGTATCCAAAGCTAGATTTACAAAATCTCAAAATCTAGCTGGATTTATTGCAAGGAAAAATGGGATTAAGTGGCAGAATCTTGGAAAGGAGAAACGTACGTCCTCTGGCCCTGCTTTGTTTTAATCAACAAATTAAGGAAGGCCCTCTTTCATGTCTCTTATCCTCTTTTAAACTTTCTCTTGATTTAAGAAGGGGCTGTCTAATTGTTCATGAGATATGAACGGTAGGTCCATCTGATCTCGTTTGGCACCATTTGCAAATGTCGTTTCTCATTCACAAGCTTAAAGAATTCCACTCCATACTCCAGTGTTGTCCAAACTTGGCCACTTTAAGATGAGTGGACTTCAACTCCCAGAATTCC